ACATCCCTTCACCCTCAGACAGCACAGCCTGAACTGGGCACCATTGACTCCTTCACCCACAGACAGCACAACCTGAACTGGGCACCATTCCACGCAGGGTAGAAGAACCTTGACCAAAGCAAAAGCATCTAAGTTAATTACTGAGGAGACTTAGTCAGAGCCTAATGGAAATACAGTCTCATGTCATCCCTGTTTGTGAAGGGAAGGGCTTTTTGTGTTGTTGTTTCCAGGGATGGGTGTTGTAGACACCACATTTATTCTCTTCTGTCAGGGAGCTGCAGAATAAGAAACCAAGCAGGATGTGGTGCTTTGATGGTGAGGTGGGTTTAATTTTAGCAAGAGGACTTTGCAGCCACAAGCCTGGCTCCTGGAGCACAGGATGCCACAGTCAGGGAATACTTTCCAGTTAGGAAGTGATACTTTAGCTGCTGTAAATAGGTCTAATTTTGTTTTCCTCAGCTTGAGTTCTTAAGGAACCGGAGGGAGCAAAGACTGCCCAGAGTGGGGGGTGGGAGACAAACAAAAACCCACGAGTTTGGTTGTGTGACAGATGTTTGGAGGAGTAAGTGTGTGTTCATAGGGAGAAGAAACCCATGGGGAGGGGAGGAAAGAGCTCAGATTTTTGTAGAGTGCATGTGAGGCAGGAGGTGGAGAAAGATGTGGATAAAGACCACAAGAACAACCAAAAAGGGCTAATGTGGGAAAGAAGAGGAAAGGCAGAAGTGATGTCCTGCCCAAATGCAAACTCAGGTTGTGTTTTTATCATCAAGAAATGTTTGGGGACGTCTGGTTTTATCTTCTGGTGCAGGTAATGGTCTGGGAGCAGTGGTAGGTGTGACCTACATTCCCTCTGAGCTGGGCTGTGCCAGGCCCCAAAGCCCCAGTTAGATCCCAGTTTTGTCCCACCAAGTGCCACTCACTGTCCATCATTAGATCAACGAGTTTGAATCTAAAGCTTCAAAAGTGTCTCCTCCAGGAGTTAGAGCTTGTGAGCTAAAGAGATAACACCTTACCCTGACAAAATGAGCACGGAGCAAGGGCTTTGTTTACCCTTCTAATGAAATGCTGCACGTGGAAAGTGCCAATGTGTTAGAGATCAGAGTTGTCAGAGGGAGGACAGATACATAGTGCCTGTGTTGTTAGGTCATGGGCAAGGTGACTTCTGCCTCTGGGGTTTGCTGTACCTCACCTGAGACCAGAGCTGCAAGTGGCTCTGCAGGGGAGAGCCCTAGGGGTCAGGTCTGAGAGAAATGCAACCATAATCATCTTGGGGAAGGTTTTTTAAATGCTGGAATGTTTTCTGCAGTGAGCAGCCATTTAAAAAAAAGCATTGGGTTGAGCAGATTCCAAACTCTGAGCCCAATTAAGGATTTAAAGTGTATTATTGGTGACATTTGTTTGCTCCTGTAACCGAGCTAATCGTATTTCAGTAGTATTTTTATTTGCAAGGTGTATTTAAGGGCATGGAGTAGTGAAGGGTGACAGGACTTACTATCATTGTTGTTTAGGTGAGTCTTAAACACACCTCTAAGCATCCATACAGTGAAAGGCAAAGATGAGATCCAGAGGAGGAGTTATGTCCTGGGATGCTGATTCTGTAGCTTAGAGATGTTTAAATAAGTGCATTTGGTGGTGCTGGAAGAGTTACTGTGTGAGATGCATCAGGCCTTACCTGCTGGCAGTGATCTGGGAACATTACACTTGGCTTAAAACAATCCAAACTCCTGGAGCTATAAACCAAGCCACTGACAGGGCTTGATGTGGTGAGCAAGAAGGGAATACAAGTGGTGGGGGAAGCTAAGGACAAAGTGATTTAGATGTTAGAAGGAATTTCAAGGAAGGCATTTGTTTGCAGTGCCTGTTTATAACCTTGAATGCTTTTCAGTGAGTTTGGGCTGATAGTTTG